TTCCGATCCTTTAAGCAAAGCCTTTGCATTTAGACTTCTTGCAAGTATTCCAACCTGTCCCTCAAGGCAGCCTGAAGTTGCAGACAACCCAAGTACTGTTTGGAGCAGTACGTTCAACTGGGCATATGAAGAAACCTCTCAACAGTCAGCTGAGGGAGTGTGAAAAGTGACTAGAATCCTAATGCACAGCTGGCCCCTCTTCTCTTACTGCAAAGTGATGACAGTGCTTACTAGCTGGAGCCAAGTCAGCCGGTATCTGCTCTGAAAGACTTGAAGAGTTGTTTGCTTCTCTTAAGAAGTTTTGGAAATAGTTACAAATGAGGCATGGTCTCTTGAGGTAAATTTGATTTTTGAGTATCTGGCTTAGTCATCGTTGCAGTTTCTGATTCTTATGACACTCGTGTCCTATCCTTGTGTCCTGACTGTTCAGAGCCTGAAGTAGGTCTTAGGTTTCGTGGGAGGTAAAACCCTGGCTAAATGGCTTATAGCTAATCATCCTGTAATGAGATTCGCTCTCACCTCAATAGGTCAGGCTTGGTGAGGTTCTGCTGATGAGCTGTTATCCACTCCTTTCTGCTGAAAGAGGTTTTCTGTGGTGAAAATTTGGTTGCACCTGATTATTACATGTAGTAAAAATGAAATAAACTGAGTATTTATTTCCTAGGCAGTGGACAGCTTGCATTCCCGTTCTTTTTGGGTGCCTTGACAGTAGGCAGAAACAATACTCAGTGCTTTGGTATCAGGGTTGCAATTAAAGCTCTTGCTTGTTTTCCAGTAAATGCTGGAGTAAAGGAGTCTGGATAAGGAAGAGCTTTAATTCTCATGTCTTCATAAACTCCTTCCAGTAACAGATGAGATAGTTGTCATTGTTTTTATTGCTGTTGTCTGTCATGAGGTGATGCTCTTGCATCATGCTATTGCTCAGCAATCCTGTAAATCTTTAATGTATTTTCCACTGGCTGTAATGTAATTCCTCAACTTTGTAGAGAAATCTGGCAAGCTTGAAGTGGTATTGCAGACCCTATGCTATTTCACTTCATGTATATTCTCTTCCCTAATTAGTAGTATAAAACATCAACAGGTCTCTGGAATTGCATTTAATTCATCCATAAACTGGGTACGAGTTAGATGTTTCTGTAGCTACATTTTTGGGGGACTTGGGTTCTTCTTTGCAAGGCTTGTTTTTCTCGTGAAATGTTAAAAGCTATGTGAAATGAATGACGTCTTTAAAGGTCCCTCCATACCTCTCTACTTCATAAAATCTAAAGTGTTTATTAAATCACTTAAGTGCTGGCAATAACTCCCAGCGACAAGAACAGCAAAACAGTAATGAAAGTAAGCGCAGAGCTTTGTCCATAAAGCAGTTTCTAGTCCTCCAGCTTGGCAGGAGGAATCTATAAAAATCTGAGGGAAGAGAATAGTGCACGGGGAGGGAGGCCGGCCTACTGGGAACAAAATTCCTTCCTGATCTTGAAATATGGGTGAGGACTGCCCAAGTATGAATGTGTTAACAGTTGTTTCGATGACCAGTGCAGCTTGACATCACTTCCTGTAAAGTTATTACAAAGGCTTATGCGTTTGAGAAGGAAGTCGGTAGCAGATCTGTATGTGTAACCAAATTGCAGAACGTTCACATCTTCTCCTGTTTATTGCTCAGTTCCAATGTTTCTAATTAGCTTTAGTCTGTCTCCTAACTCTGGCAAGAGACTAGCTGCATCACTGCTCTGACAGGAGCAAAGCAACAGATGCTTAAACGAGATACAAACTGTTGTGCATCTGGCCAGTCATCTTAATTTAGAGCTGGAAGCCATGTTACCAGCACAGCCGATCTGTAATGTGTTTCTGGATCTCTTTTAGGATTTTGAATACAACCCTATTTGAAAGCTGGGAGTTGATTGGTCCTTATCCTTCATGGTGGCTATTCAATGGGCTTTTGATAACCTTGCAGATTTTGCATATCATCTGGTCTTATCTCATCATTCGCACTGCCTACAAGGCCCTCGTGCGGGGAAAGGTAAGATTGCTGGAGACTGTTTTGGGTCCTCTTTCCTACAAGCCCTATTAAGCAGTCGTGAGAAACTGGGCCCTTCAGTGAGGGCTGGTGCTAGTTCTCAAGGGGCTTGCATCAGGAGTGCTTTGTAGAACGGTAGTTTTTTTACCTTGGTTGCTCTGCAGACTTGAGTTGCCAGGTGTATACAAAGGCAGGGATGCTTTCCTTTTTGTTCTGGTCATGCAGGGAAATAATGCCATTTTCCAGTACGTTCAGATGTTGTAATAATAGTGATGATGACAGACTTGTTATGTACTTCGTTTGGAGTTTAAGGTGGTAGTGGGCTCTTTTTTGAACAATCCTATAAGATGTTTTCCATCTTTCCAACTTCAGATGGTTCTTGGATGTGATGAGGGTTATGCATCTTCCACTTATGAGCGCTAACACAGGCTTCTGGCTGTCGGTGCCGGCCAGGCATTGAGCCGCAGCATGCAGCGGAGAAGGGGTTATCAGGAACACGGTGGAGTTTGCTGGCTGTTACTGGGCTAATGGGGTGCAGTCAAGCTTCAGTCCTGAGTATTCTAATTTCAATTTGTGTTGGGAGTCTTAGGGAGAGGGAGGGTGAAACTACAGCAGCTGGTTAACAACAGATACTGCCCTTAAGAGTGAACAATGCTGACTTGGCTGCAACCTCAGTTGCCAAGCAAAAAGGTGTAGTTCAACTGAAGTAACATGAGACAGGGCAAGCCAGTCTAGGAACTCATTTGGCACCCAGCCCACCCATCAAGAGAAGCCACTTCCTTGGCAGCTACCAGACAGCAACAGCTGATTTCATAGCAAAAATGCCTTTTTTTTTTTTTTTAATCAGATAGTTGGTATTCTGATCTGAGTTTCTCTCATGGTTCTCCTTTATTTTGTGTTTGACTTTTTAGCTGCCCCTACACATGGAATGTAACCTTGAAAAATATTTATATCATAGTTGTCTGTGGCAGTGACTGTCAGGGGAAGGCATGTTTCAGAGTTTGTACATGATCTTCTCATCTGTTCTCCACAGCTGCTACTGCAAATGTCTTATTTTCTGTCTGTGCAGCTGTTTCTGTATCCTGAGGTCTTTTTTTCCTTTCCTTGGTTCTCTCCTGTCCAGGTGACCTAGCCAGAGAAAGGACTCTAAGCTCTGTCTTCTTCACTCTTTTCTCCTTTTCTCTGTGCCAGATTGGAGCTGGACAGTTTCATCCTTTGCATGTAAGTGTGATCTGTGCTGCTCTTTGTTCACTGAAACACATCTGTGTCTGTTTCAAGGCTAAGACAAAAGCAAAGCTATGGTCTTGGGGCTTTAGGTGGCTGGTGCCTTCTCTTAAAATGTTTCTCTCCCTGGTTGATACGGTGCTGGTTCTGACAGTGTGCTAAAATGCAGGTTTTTCCAAAGATCAAAGCAGTGTCCTGGGGTTTGTTCTTATCTGCTGTCAGCTGGCTGCATGACCTTCACCTTTCTGCTTTTATACGCCCACAGAGACTCTGATATCTGTCTTTACTGCTCATTAACACTGTGCTGAGTGGAAGAGGACAGGAGAAATGCAATGCTTTTTGCAAAAATGTGTAGAACAGTCACTTGTCCCCTAAATAATGGGAGAAATTTCAAGGGATTTCTGCTTCCTTCCAGTGACCCTTTGAACTTCCAACATAGCAGGAGAGTGGGGAAAGATATCAAAAGTTCTGGCAACAGACAGAAGCTAGTACATCCAACAGGCCTCTCAAAACCAATCCTGGAGATCATTAACTTTACCTGGCTTTCTGCCAGATCTTCCCTCGAGTTCAAATACTTCCTGCCTGGTGCTGTTCAAAAGCCCTAACCCTGACTCCAAGCAAGCAGAGCAGAATGAAATCCTTGGAAAGGTGCTAGCCGCAAAGTGCTTGCACATTAAGTAAATGAGGGCTGTTAGTTGCAGAGGCAGAAGTGTGGCGAGCCTCCTGCCTTGGGGTGTACAAAGCACAGGCCATTCGCGCAGTCACTGCTCGGCACTGCTGAGTTTATGGCTCGGGCACCCTGCCACCAAGCAAGGTGCTTGTTTGCAGTTGGGGCCGGGCTCAGGATCTCTTCCCTTCACCTGGTGCGGTTGGCTCTGCGGTGCTGGTACAGTGCCCTCCTGCGGCACTCGGAGCAGCCGGCAGCAAAGTGCGCATGGATCTGCTTCAAAAGGTTCAAAATCCCATGCACAAATGAAATTCAGCTGGATTTGCAGCCAGTCTTTTAACTAAAGGCATACCTCTGTAAAGCAGAGCTAGATCTCTGGGCTGAGATGCTCCTTCTGTTCCTGAATGGGTGTTTGGTGGATTAGATAGCTGTCTTTGTTCCACAGCCCGCTGTCCAAACAGACTTTTTCTCGTAAATGAGTTCTCACGTGTGAACCACAAGCTGTGAAAATGGGAGGCACTTAGTGCAAACAGTAACGTGATAAATATAGCTAGCTAATTTTTAAAATATTAAAGCTGTTCCCTGTAGGACAAAATGGTCTCTCTGATATATACATGTTTTTTGGTCATCATACCCACTGATGATTATGGTGTGAGAAGTTTTTTTGATTCAAACCAAATTGATTAAAGGCCACTTTTCCAAACAACAAATCTAGAGTGCAGCTCTTGGAAGACAAGAACAACCAAAGATCTACAGTGTCCTCTGATCTGGTGAGAGCAAAGAAAGTGTAGTGCTCTCACAGATATACAGAGTATTTGGAAAATGGAACTCATATTTCCAGATTGTCATTTTCAATGACATTGCATTCTGTATGTGATGACAGGTTCCTCCTTGTGAGTTTGAAGTCATTCAGGATTAAATGTAGAAGGTAAACCTAACTGACTGAAGCTGGTTAATCACACGGACACAACCTTCCAACTACTGTTTTCTGTGAATTTTTCAACTTCCCTTCTCCCCTTTCCACTACCAAATTTCATTTGAAATGTTTAGGTATCAAAAGATGACCGCAGTGATGTAGAGAGCAGTTCTGAAGAGGAGGATGTGACTTCCAACAGCACAAAAGGAGTTTTCAGCACTTCGAGTAACGGCTCCAACCGCATTAATGGCCACGTGGCTAGCAGCCAGTGGACAGAAGAGGAGTAAGGCTGTGGGTTGGCCTTGAGCGAACACGAACTTGTCTTTAAATATCTAGTTGTGTTGAGCTCCACATTCCCAAGCGATCTTTAATCAAGATACCCCTTCCCCAGAAACCTCCAGCAAATCTGAAATGGGCACAATCCAGACCAGTCAGAGGCTTTGCACAACAGAAGGGATAAAGCCGATGACTAGGGCAAAAACAAAGCTGCAGATTTCACTTTAAGCCATTTTGTACTTAAATCTTAGTCCCATCGATATTTGCAGAGGTGTCTTTGTGATAAACTGGTTTTTATTAGGATCAGCTCAAGACGGAAAAACTTTGGACTAGGCTGGCTGCCGACCGCAGGAGGGTTACGGTGCCATTTCAGTGACGGTTTGCTCCAGTGCAGGTTCAGCATATCTCCTTGATGCACTCCAGAAGCCACTTAAGAGCATGGAGAACGCAGGGTCCCGTGGTTCCAATGCCAAGCTACCCTGTCTGTAGCAGAGACTCTTTTTCTCAGTCCTACTGTGAGCGCTCTGGACTACAGCTGAGCTTTGAACTGGACTCTGCTACAACAGAAACGTTCTAACTTGTCATCGGGGTGCTGTGTGCTAAGGAGGTTATAGCTTACATCTCTGCTGTCATGAGGGACCAGGCCAGCGTTTGCTGCCTATTTTGGTGCTGCAAGCCCCTCTGAAGTCTTGACTACAGCCTTCTGAAATGGGGGAGGGGGGTTGTTTATTGCCCCTGAGACAACTATCACAATACATAACTTTTAATTTTTTTTTTTTCTGTTGCAAGTTGTGGTTTTGAAGATGTTTCTAGACCTACTGGCTACAGTTGGTTCAGCTAGGCTGTGAGGGTGGACCCGTACTGGTGGGCTGTGTTTGAAACATCTTATTTTGTGGAAAGTTAGTGCTCCTTGTCTGTACTCCAAGACAGAAGCGAATGTTGCTCCTCTGATTTTGCAACTGTGTGGAGGAATCACTGGGCTGGAAAGGCAGCCACACTATAGCCTTTTGCTTCTTTTTTTGTTTGGTTTTTTTTTTTACTCAATGGTACTTGGGGGCAATGGAAGACCCATGTGTCAATCACGAGCAGAACTTACTGAGTTGTTACTATTTTATAACATTGTTTACTCTTATCTCCGATTAAAAGATGCTTCAGAAACCTGGCTGACATGTTTCATCTTGAGAAAATAAAATCGAGGACACTGCATGCCCCTTTTCTGTGACCCTGCGCAGCTGGATGGCTGACCGACGCCTCTGAGATGCACCTTGTAAGGTGAACAGGGCCTGTTCTGTGCCGTGTGGGGCAGACACCACGCAGCACCACGCTTTGGCGTTTTCACACGGTTTTTATTACGCTCCGTCTCCCTCCCCCAGCCTGGGGAGGCCGCGGGGCCGTTTTCCTGCTCCCCCCAGC